AAGCAAAGATCCCAGGAAAAGAGATCAGCAAATATATCATGATTCTACGATTTGAATTTAATTCCAACAATGAAAGCCTTTTTACCATAGCTTCTTACCTCTGATCTTGTCGCTCCACCAACGATGAACACAAATATTCGCTGTCCCATCTTCCTGAAATCGCTTGATGCATGTCTCAGTACCGAATCACTGCAAGAAGGTAAAAAAAAAAAGAGTCAAGAAGTTTATTTTTCGCTGTTCCGAAATGATGTGAGCAAGAAGTGGATTCTGCAAATGAACAATGAGACGCGTGGTTTTATCTGGCTTTTAGGTTTTACTTTGCTAACACAAAGAAGTTAAGAAGATTGACGAATACTCAACTTATGTTTTAGGTTTTACTCAATATATTGCATTGATCCTCGGATTCTTTGTTGGATTATTTAGAAACAGTACCTTGAATATCCATCATCTGAACCTCGAGGTTTAGCCCATGTTGGTGTGCGTCTTGATCTCATGGACTGAGCAGCTTGACCTTGACTACTAGTTGCTGCTGATGACAGTGAAGTTGATCCGTGGAAACTTGGGCTTGGGTCGTTCATACACGGGAAATCCTCTTTTGGCAATTCTCCTTTGCTAAGTTTTTCAATGAGTTCCTGCAAATTCCAGAAATGAAAAACAGTCAACAAAGTCAAAAGTAGTGTCCTGTGCAAAACTCAAAAGAAAATCAACAAAGCCAATTGCGATTGGTACCTCAATCATGGGGTAAAAACGAGATAACTGCCATGCTGCTTCCTCTTGGCGCTCTTTCCTGACAGCTCGTTTTTTCTGCAGCCGTTAACAGGCAATGTTAAGAAGATGTACATTTTAATATATAGAAGGAAGATTCGGTGAGAAGATATAACCTTGTGAAGGTCAAACTTCAAAGTGAAACCTCCCGGGGTATTCTTTTTAGCATCGACGGCTGAACCAAGTAAGCTCATATTATTTACAGCGGTCATGTCATCAGATGAGAGTTTTGCCAACTAGAAACAAAAGCAATAATAAAGCCTTAGATGGGGTGGATGCGAATTAAACAAAGATCCAGAAGTGCTAAAACCCCAAGTACCTTCATTAGATTTTGACCTTTTTCACCTTCAAACTTTTCAGGGTAAATTGTTGCGAGGATCATCAACAGGCGTAACTTACCTTCACGGCTCGCTTCCTGTACAGTAGTTCGAAAAATTATAAAGCTCATCAGCTCAATATCTCATGAAGTATTACAGTAAATCAACAACTGTTAACTAGATGCAAACCTCTTGAGTACTCAAATATTTAATCACATCCTTCATTCCAGCATCACCAAAAACAAGGTCTTGTTCAAGTTGTCCAAGCTCCCGAAGTCCTTGCTCTCTGATAAGGTCGTTGAGTTTTCTAGCAATCTGCAACAAGAAGAAAGAGTTATATGAATTCGGTGCTCAGAGAAAAAGCCAGAGAAGCAAAAACTCTGGACATCTGCAGACAGTTCGTCAGACACTAAATCCTGTGAAATGTTAATCAAATGATGCATATTAATAAAGTAATTGTGTGTAGCACCATCTAAAGTTAAAGTGGAGGTGGACGCACCAAGAAAAGAAAAGGAGAGCATTGCACATAACTATGGAACTACCTCTACGTGGAGAGAGAGCTTGTCAATTTGTTCACTGTACTGTGGCAATGCTTGAACCATCTTCTGCAAATCTCTTGTAGAAAGCTCAGCTCCATCTCTAAAAAAAAGAGTCAAACAAAATTAGTCAAAAGGAGAGAACAACTACTTCTCCAACCAAATAAAGTATACCACGTAGATCAACGTAGAGTAATGTAAGAGTATTATCAATCTGAATGACAAGAGGAACTAATCCAACAGTAAAATCTGGTTCCACCAGTTCAGGAGAAGAGTAATATATGCTATCTAGTTACATTTACTACAGAAATAAAAAGTAATACCCACCTCTTACCCTGAAGCTGAGCAGCTTTGTTTTTCGATAAGAAATTGGTCATCTTGTCATGCAATCTTTCACTAGCCTGATGAAAAAGACAGGTCCAGAAGTTTAACTTTTTTTTCCGTTACCAAAGAGAAATAAATACCTAGGCATCAGACTCACATCTGCTATATGTGCATGTCGAAGCTCTAGCCAAATAGGATCATGTTCCTCTAAGAGCACATCTTTCTTCTCTGGTTGTCCACCTGATTTGCTTGGAATCTAAAAACTAAATGAGCATCACATGGAGTATCCAGGAAAAGAGCCACCACAAAATCGCAATAAATTATATGGAAAAGTGTTGAACTTACCACATGTACATATTTGTTTCCTTCCATGTTCAGTAAATCATGGCACATAGCATCATATGTCCACTCATGTATAACAGGGGCAATCTAGACATTCAAAACAAGCAAATGCTGCTAATCATATAACACTTGTAGAGTAGGAAGCATGAGCTCCATAAGTAGATGGATGCACTTTCGATTAGTAAACGAAACAAATAAAAGGCGCATCAAATGTAAAAAAAATGTTATAAACCTGGTCTATGGATCTGTCAAGAATGAGTAGCTCGCAAGTTTCAGTCTGAGGAAAATTTTCAATCGACTGTTTATGTTTTGCCAGACAATTCCAGATTCCAGCTGCAAGCTTTGTTGGAATTAAATCGCGCAAAGTTGTCATTGTCGATGCATCAAGTGACTTTGCAGCTCGGTATCGTACTGCTGGGAATTCCTGTAACGTCCAAAATGATTCAGAAGAGTCATCCGCATAATATAATCATATTAATCGTGGGAATAATGATTGTACCCGTAATGAAGCAAAGACTGTGGCAATTCGAGAAGCCACCACATTCAAGCACGCATCGCCTTTTCGAGAAGTTTCCTCGTCACCGAAAAGATCCTCTAAAGCTCGCTCATGATCGGTGATGAAACCCTGTACAGGTTATCGTTAATAAAATATCTCTTGTCCCTCTTTCACATCATGACACATACACTAACAACATGATACACATGCCACACTGCATTTCAAACCATATAATGGGAACCAATATAAACGCGGCTAAAATGCACGAACACAGGAGATTCAGAACAATCATACCTGGCTATCAATGGCAAAAAACTCCAAATTCATCTGCAGACCAAAAATCAAATAATAAGTTATCGATATTGATGCAGTCACAGCTCTATAACACAGATACTAAAGTAAATCAAATTAAATAGCAACAATCAGTATATACTAGAAAGTATGCTTTTTGCAATATACACCTCTCTTAATCCTCCAATCCGAGGTAATACACTCGAATCTTTCTTGATGTGACCAACCAGTTCCTTGGAAACCGGTGAACTGAAGAAAACAAATGCCCTTCACAGATGCAGAGGAATAAAGAAGAAAATCAGTGTTATAAAGAGACTGTCTTTAGGATAGAGTCGATATCTAAGAGGGGGTCATGTCCTTACTTCTTGTACAAGGGTGATTTCCCAGACATGTCTGACAAGAACATGATGACACTGATGAAACCGAATCAAACATTATATAAGAGGAAATAACAAATGTCACATTTTGGAAGGCAAAGGAAAATCGAAGAAAAATTACTTCTCTTTAGTTGGCTGGATGAAGTATATTGCATCCATTGAAGGTAGAGGTTGTCTTCGTCTAAATATGTCTTCAACCACTACAGAGAAATAATATCTTATGCCAATTAAATTATTCCCAAATAAAGCATCATATCGAACTAGAATTTGAACAAAAATACTAATTCTCACGTGAAACTCCTTCTTGTGTGATATCAGCCATTTTGCAGGCGTATGACATTATCTTGACAGTAAGTTTGTCCATGATTAGTACCTAAAATGCGAAAAAGGAAGAAAATTTAGCCGAAAATTAGGTATCAACCTAGAAGTGAAAAACATAATCGGGCCAGCCAACGGTGAATGTACACGAAAACATACCTTCCATGTGGATTTTGAGCTCCCTGTCTTCGCAGATCTAAGCATCTCATACAAGAGTCCTGGGAATTAAAGAAATGTAACAGATCAGATAGACAACCCAATAGCAATAGATAAAGCCTCACCAAAACAAGGAAGAAAAGTAATGAGACTTAAGAGAAAATAAGTAGTGATAACAGCCAAAGCCTCGTTGAATTTAGACCCATGGATGCATGACAAGAGCTACACTGCCTATAACTCTCTACAATCATATTCCACAAACCTCTTCTCAAAGATTAAACAACCATTTGAAACATGTATCAGTTTATGTTCCTAAGTGCCCGATAGGCAAACATTTTAGCTCTACTACCAAATTCATAAGCATCATCGAAAATCTTAATTCTAAACTTTAGAACCAAACCAGTGTAACAAACAACATATTTCCCAATATTACATATAAACAAACAGTCCCAAAGCAATTCCGCGACAAGTCTTAGAAGCCTACACATTATCGGTCTCACGACGGTAGTACCCAGAATCAAATAGAAACAACAAAACTAAAATGGCTGCTCCGCAAAACCCGGAATCAGAAATAGATCACGAGAATCCAGAAAAATCGACAAGTCAATCCAAATCAACGAGAGTCAAAACAGATATATAAATCAAATGAAATCCGATACAGATAGAGAGAGAGAGAACTCACGTTCACGCGTAATCTGTCGGAAATTCTTGTAGTCGCCACCATGAGACGACGAATCAGAGTCGGAGTACGACATAGCTGCGATCTATCAATTTCAGACTTCTTAAATCTCCGATCGACAGATCGAACAAGAAGACTGACCGGAGACAAAAGAGAAATGAATCGCGAACTAATCAAAAATAAAATGTAGAGAACTAATCAAACGACGAGACGAAGACCGATGAAGAAAGCTCTCTTTTTTTTTTCTCTCTCTCCAACAGTTTTTTAATTAAAATTAAATTTATCTCTATCGAAAACCGTGTTGACCCGAACCGGCGGTTTGAATCGGTAAACCAAGCTTCGAACCTTCGATGTGGACTGGGTCTCTTCGATGATAAATAGACAAGTTCGTTTCATGTGTTTGTTGAAAAGTTTTCCAAGTAGAAGAAAATTTTATTTCTAGGATTCATATATTCCCAACATGTAAAAAACATAAGAAAGTGTGAGAGTAATTTATGGACCAAGTCATTCATCACTCATACACAATTACACGTATCCACACCAAACACTTGGAACTTTTCTTGACTCAGAAGAATTTATGGATCAAGTGTGAGATTCTTTGATGTATGTTGAATGTCGATCTACGATGAGACGAATCAGATTATCTTCTACGATGGATTCAGGCTTGTTGTTATCACGTCTCACCACAACATTACCGCTACTTGAAACAACCACTACCTCCTCCTTACGCGTTAATAGCTCATTTGCTACAACAGCGTGCACTTTGTATTTTTGTAGAGCCTTTGTAGCCTTCTCTATCAAAATCTTTGAGTCTGTCTCCAGCTGGATACAGAATTCCATATAAGTTATCCAGATTTTGGAGGGTTGAAACAAGAGCGAATAAAGAAAGAGATAATGACCTTGAACGATATGCAGAAAGCCTTTGGAGCCCAATTTGATCTCAAGATTGAAAGCATTTTAGGGACTTGAGCTAGTCTTATGTCCAAAGGACCAGATCCTGATTCTATTTTGTGCTCTGTCTGGTTTCACCAAATATATAACAAGTCAATTTTCAGACGCAAGAATTGTGTAGCCATGATCACAAAGATATGAGAATCTTACCATGCTCTTCCATGGCACATAAAAGTCAGATACAGCAGCAGCAAGATAAAACATTGAACATGGACCGACATCTTTTAAGACCGTTGCAATCAACCGCAACATCTGTTTGTATCCCAAAGTTAACCAGAAACATTCACAAAGAGAAAGTAATCTCAGTTTCAGCTCTGTTGAAGAAATCCCACAAGCATTGATATAAATTCTAATGGTTTCTTAGGCATTTATTTAAGAACTTAAATCACATTATATGTGTCAAGACAAAACAAGATAACTAAAGTAGCTAGTGTAAAGATTCAAGAACCTGGAGATATTCATATATGGTTGAGAATGGGAGTTTTAGCAACCGACCTTCTGCAACTGCCTGCAATGTTAATTTGCAAGGTTACTTACGCAAAAGACTCATAAAAGTGATCAGCTTGCAGTAAAATAAACACAATTGGTCCAATGCTTACAGCTTGCTGGTCCATAACAGCCATCTTCACAGCTTCTGAATGTGACCCATGAACTGGGAAAAAGAAAGAACAAAAACACATAATTTGATATAATACCAGACTAAAACCCACACTTTAAATCCATAATCAAGCATATACAGACTTAAGAAAGAGGTAGTAAAGAAAAACCTTGAATGTTTTTGGCATCTGGAAACTCAAAACATTCAAGGAATGGATCATCAGGAAGATACCGGCAATACGGTTGACAAGTTCCCCTAAATATCACATAATAAAACGGATTTAAAGAAGCATCATTTCACAAAATATTTCAACCATACTAAGTTAAAAATGTTACCTCCTGTAGAGAAAGATCACAGCATACCCAGCCTTGACGAAATTCCTTTGCAAACCAAATCAAAACCATATTTAGTATTCAAGAATCTCTGTTTACCAGTTCTATATTGAAAACAAAAACTAAAAACTTACTCAGTAGATGCAGCACCTCTATTACCAGAGCTGAAATTATCAATGTATCTTACACATCGTTGCTCCAATGGAACTGTAGTTCCACCTGAAGTCACACATACAATCCTCCTCTTCCCTCCTGATAAAATATAGAGAGGAAAAAAAACATCTAAATCATCCAGAAATCAAAATGTCACATATATAAAAAATTCTGATCTCACCTTCACACGAATGATTCAGCTCAATGAACTGATTCAGCTTGGCTACGATCTCTTCATTGTTCTTCAGAGGTGGAGACGATTCGAAAAACGAACTGATTTCATCTTCCACCAATCCAGAGATCGAACTCATTTTCAATCCTTTTCGCAAAACAGAATCAGACACGGAACATCGAAGAAACAAGGAAGAACGAACAAAGGTTGGGCTTTTTTCAGAGAAGGCTCGGATTTTGATTATCAAATTCTACAAAATGGGCCTGAGAAACGGCCCATTATGTTACTACCCGCGAAAATGTAATCAAATCCAAGATAACGAAACCAACGAGATAATGCCAATATTTTACTTTAGAAGACTCTTTCATGAATCACTTTGACAACAACACCAACTAATTCTAATTATTTCCCTGCAAAAGTCATTAAATAAACAGTTTTAAAATATTCACTTGCAAAAGCCATTCATTTTTTTAATTACAACCTCACAAGACAAAACAAAATCCCACCAATTTTATAACCTCCTTAAATCAACATAATTAACCTCCTAATGGGCTACAAATGCTTATTAAACTCTTCTCGCTTTTATTACATTCTTTGACCGTACGGTCTTCTAGTTCTTCCTCATCGCTGCCGCATTGCTTGCAAACCACCTTGCACTTAACCACACTTCCATAGACATAAAACCCGGGCTGAACCATAGCTCTAACCAGACTCTTAAACCGTTCCCCACCAGTTTCCTCCATGTAAATTGGATCAAACCGATCATCTTTCTCCACGCGAAAGATTTGCAAACCAGGGTTCACCGAATTAGCCAAAAGATGAACCAACCAAACACTCTTCGACGCACCAAAGAAAGCCTGCCACAAAACCCGGTTCAATCCAATTAGTTTTGAAATAAACCAAACAAAATCTGTATTATTAACCGTTCGGTTAACGCTTGCTTACCTGTAAAAGCGGTTCAGGCCAGGCTCTGTTCCAGCTAAGCATCGAAACGACGTCGCTCATTTTCCGATCACAGAATCGGCTAAACTCCTCCGAGAAATGCTTGGTTCCTCTGCTCAACACCTCATCCCACGTGAGCTCCATCAAGACGTTAAACGAAGCGTAATTGGATTCACAACGATCAATCGGATTCAAAATCCGGGTCGACCCATTCTTCTGAAACCCAGAAGCTTCGAAATCCTCGAAGAAAGCTCTGCTCAGAATCGCTTCAAGGTAAAAGATCAAACTTTTAGGGTTTTTCGCGAAAGAGTTGATCTTTACATCGAATGGTTGAAGAAGAAGAGAGAGTCTCTCGTAAACTTTGCCACCGACGGTTCGTAACTGCGAGGCGAGAGATCTACTCAAAGCTCTGATAGAAGATCGAGATTCCGACACAGAAACGAGAAATTGCTGAATGATCCTGTCGTTGAATCCGTCTTTACGAATCGTAACACTCTGTTTCTTGTTGCTGCATTCGTCAAGACCGGATTTGAGATTGTGACAGTAAATCTCGAGTTTATTGAGTTTCTTCTCAAGCTCTGCCATGGATGATTTCAACCTAGAAGCTTCTATGACTGCGTCTTCTTTCTTCTTCGTGGCTTGAATCAGTTTATGAGAAAGCTCCGCCACAGCTAACCGCCACTGCTCTTCTCTTGAAGCGTCGGCGGCGGAGGAGGAGGAAGATCGCGGTGGAAGCGCCGCCGTCGCAGAGGAAGGTTTGGGACTTCTCCGTGTGAGAGATTGAAAGATGGATTTGATTATCAGATTGGGGCTAGAGATGAAAGAAGGATTGTTGTGGCTTTCGAGAGGTACGACGGAGAATTTGTCACGGTGAGAGTGGTGAGGCCGACACTTGTTGCAGGAGACGGCACCACCGTCGTCTTCGTCGTTGTCGTCATGTCGTTTTCTGGTTTGGGGTTTTCCGTTGTGGTGGAGAGGTGTTAGAGTGTGTTGGTGGTTGTTGCTGTTGTTGCGGCGGTGGTGATGGTGGTTTGGTGTGGCGGAAGAACCACCGTCGCTGCTTGGTGTTGCTCTGTTTTTGTATCTTTCTTCTTGGAGGTCATCTTCTTCACATTCTAAAATCTGAAAGAACAGAGAGAAATAAAAATGAAAATTAGGCCAAATTGAGATAAAAACAAAACCTTTGGATTTGTGAGAATCTTCAAGTGACACAAATATGAGATTCTAATGGAATCATTGAGATCAAAGGAGAAAACTTTAGACGAAAAGGTAACAGAACTTGCTTCTTTTCGCACTGTTCCTTCATTTTCTCGGGAAAATAATTGTGGGTTTAAGCAATAATACGCAAGAACAAGAAGATTTCAAGCTATATCCAGATAATTCCACCATTTTTGAAAGAACAAAAAGAAAGGTTTTTTGATTTTGTGACAGAGCAAAGACAAAACAAAACAAAATTGAGGTCTGTGTTGTCTTCTTCGTCCACCAAAAAACAAAGAAGATGGATTTGAGTTTGACTTACAGGAGTGAAGTGAAGGGATTGGTGAAGAGATGGAACAGGAGATTTGGAAGGAGAAGATGAAGACGAAGGAGCCATTTTTTTTTTTCTTCCTTTGCTCTCTTTTTTCTGGTTTGCTTTAATATTTAACTTTAATTTTATATATATACACACACACTATCATATGATAATATAAATTATTATCAAGTCAATTTGTAAAAAAAAAAGAAAGAAGAGGTACTAGAATAGTGATGATTATTTCTCATTTGGTTGTATACCGGTAAACTTTGGTCAAATATTAAAATTTGTTTCCATCTTAGTTCAAGATGAAAACCAAAATGAAGACTATGCTGCTCAAAGCCTCTAACAGACATGTTTTGTTGTCATCCCTCTAATAGACATTTCATATATACCATACAAAAAATAGTACTATTTCTCTTGTGTATAATGCATTTGATCACATATTATTGTTTCCCCCAAAAAATCCCCTGTTATTCAACAGTATATTCATTTGAAAAAATATTTCTTAAACAATAGTATAATTTTCGTATGAGATTGAAATAGAAAATTTATCGGTGTAAAACTTGCATGTGTTAGAAAACCGTCAAAACTTTACAGTATTACTATCCTTTGTTTCGATAAAAACTTGAAGAATCCAAATTATATTGCCAAGACAAATTAGTTACAAATCAGTATATAAATAATAACCAGTTAGTTACTTTAAAATAAAAATAGACCACATTTAAAATGGAAAAATAAGAACTTGAATTTGAAATTATCGTATAGATTAATTTTATAGATTGGAATAATTATATTCTATTAGAAAATCTGATCAAATTCATAGTAACTATAGTTTGATCATTCGGCATTTTTGTTTTGTTTCATCGGCGTTATTTAGTTTCATTCATTCCATTTGTTTCGAAATAATTGTACTTATATATTTTGTTAGTTCTGCCTGTTTCCCAGCACTAATTCTAGCGTCACTTTTCATGTTTTTTTGGCCAATACTTTCAATTTTGTTATTCAGATACTTAGATTTACGTGTTCGTGTGTGTACGACTGACTATATGAAGTGCAATGATTATAGTTTCTTTGGATATGTTAAAGAAATGTTTAATCGAGTTTCTCTTTTTCTGTTTCCTCTCCATCAATTTTGTTCATCTCGTCAGCTTATGATCATTGCTTCTGAAACAATCAGAAAAGTTTGCTCTAAAAGCTATATATATTTACATGTTACACGACCCACAAATTTTTAATTAATAGACTTCAGTTTGAAAATTTCCAATCACGTAAACGTATAAACTTGCGGATTATATTAGATTTTACATTAAGATCTAAATCATGAGCTCACTCATCCGATACTTTGATTTTGATTTCCATGTCTTGGTGAACATATACTTGGAATTATACAAAATACAAACAAAGCTATACGTACACGTAGGTGTATATTTATGGGTGTAACGACCAACTCATGTAACGACCATATTTATGGGTATACTTATTTTCTTTTTCAATCTTTTCCTTTTCATATAAAGTGTACCAAAAATTTGCTTTCAATAAATGCATATTGGGTTGCATATAGATTCGATGCTTGCAAGTTTTGGTTTGAATTCTAATTCTGCTACCATTCAGATCCCAACATACATTATTAGCTTATAGTAGTGGGCAACTGCAAAAAAAAAAAAAAAAAAACAGCTTATAGTGGAAACGACAAAAAATTAATTCAGTAATCAAAATAGTGAAACCTAATATTTAGCGTCAAATTTGGCAATGATGACCTATAATGGGGTTTTCATTTTGAAAATGAGATGATTGTATTTGAAATGTGATTATTTGTTAGGTTAGAGATCTGGTTGGTACGAGTAAAAAATACTACATTACATAATTGATTAATTTAGAGAGTAAAAATGTTTGTGACAGTAAATAAGATTTTAAAAATGAAAAAAAAAACAAATACTTAAACCAGTTTTTCATGACTTTAAAATGATAATTTAATTTAAAAAAAATATTTACCATTAAAATTCATCGTTTTCATATCGTACTGATTTAACAGCTTCTGACATTTTTACTATGCAGTAAGTTGTACTCCCTCCATTTCGTTTTAGTTGTCGTTTAAGTTTTTTTCACACAAATTAAGAAAATCATTAAATTTTCTGTTTTACCCTTTATTTTATAAAAAAATTCAGGCCGAAACATTAAAACAGTAGGAATAAAACTGGAATTTTCACCACATTTGTATCAAAAACCTAAAACGACAACTATTATGAAACAAAATTTTAACTCTAAAACGACAAGTAAAACAAAACGGAGGGATTACCATAATTCATCACTTTTACCATTGTACTGCATATCATGGAGACTCGTTATTATGCAGTCTCCCAAACAATTAAGAAGACTACGTTACTAACGAGCTCATTTTAAGTGATTTGATGTCTACGTTTTACTACGTTACTAACGAGCTCTAATGAATTATGGAACTGCATATTATAATTCCTTAGCAATTCGAA